TGTCGTCAGCGCCCAGCCCCATCCTGCCCCCGCCCGAGCCGGCTCACAGCCGCGCAGAAGGGGGAGGAAAGGGAGCGGCCGAGTGAGGATGACGAGGGGCCGAGATCCGGGCCCTGGTTCCCCGTCACGCTGCGCCCTGCGGGGCTGGTTCCCCGGCGCAAGGCGAGGGAGAAACGGTGGCACGGCCAGGCCCCGCAGCTCAGAATCGTGAGCTGGACCCCTCCCCCACGAACGATGCTTCCTGCACCGGCTGGACCTGCCTGGCCCGGCACCGCGCACCCGACCGATCCTGCACCTGGGGATTCACTGGCCAGCAGGTCAGTTTCAGCAGCGGCTGAATCCGGACGCCTGCAGCAGAGCAGCTGGAGTGCTGCAGGGTTGGTCCAGTAGCGCCAGCCTGCGGCACAGCGAGACCTACCCGGCAGCACCCAGCTGCTCTTGGGGGCGCATGGGGCAGAGCAGCTGGGGTGCTGCCAGGTTGGTCCCACAGCACTGCTCCTCGGCGCTACTGCACTAAGAGCCTCCCTGGTCTGCCCCACTGGGGCTTGTGCCTCATTCCTTCCTCCTTCCACTAACCCTAACCCCTCCCTAGCCCCCTTCATGATGTCAAATAAAAACACATTTCTTGCCAAAAACAAACTCTCTTTATTGACCAAAACTGGGATGGGAGAGGGGCGGGGGAAACCTGGGAGGAGGGAGCTGGAAGGGGGAGGCAAGGGGAGGAAGGGGGAGGGGAAGCTCATGGTTGGGGGTCTCACCGAACCAACTTGATTTTCATGCAAACCTGCTCCTGGGTTCGCATGTGGCCTTTGGTGGCCAGGCTGGCAGCTACCCTGCCATAGATGGCCTTGACCAAAACTGGGATGGGAGAGGGGCGGGGGAAACCTGGGAGGAGGGAGCTGGAAGGGGGAGGCAAGGGGAGGAAGGGGGAGGGGAAGCTCATGGTTGGGGGTCTCACCGAACCAACTTGATTTTCATGCAAACCTGCTCCTGGGTTCGCATGTGGCCTTTGGTGGCCAGGCTGGCAGCTACCCTGCCATAGATGGCCGCATTCCTCTGTCTAGTGCGGAGATCATGGACGTTGGGGGCATCCCCCCAAACCTGAGTACGGTCCACCCTGATCTCCACCCTGGACCAAGAAGGCGCCTGCCTTCTCCAGGCCCTGGCAGGCTCCTGGGAGCTGGCAGACGGCTCCTGGGGAGCGGTGGAGGGCTGGCTGCCAGTGGCTTGCTGGCTTATGTTTTGAGGCCACTGGGTCAGGGACAGTGACTGCTGGCTCTGGGCTGGCAGGCTTGCTCCGGGGGGCTGGCAGGCGGCTCCTGGGGAGCGGTGGAGGGCTGGCTGCCAGTGGCTTGCTGGCTCATGCTTTGGGGCCACTGGGTCGGGGCAGTGACTGCTGGCTCTGGGCTGGCAGGCTTGGAGCTGGCGCAGGCCCTGTGGCCAGGGTCTACCCCTTTAATGGCTCCGGGGCTAGAGGGAGGGAGAAGAGTTTTCCTGGTTTGGCCCAGAGTGGCCACCGGGGAAACTGGGAAGGCTGGAGGCCAGGTAATTCGGACTAAGCGTCTACACAGGGCTTATTCCAAATTAGCTACTTCGTATTTGGGGTTACTTCCCGTAGAATGAGGTTCACCGAACTCGAATTAAGACATTCGATTTGAAATAGCGGTTTGCTTGCGTAGGCACTAGGGAAGTTAATTCAGAATAACGGCTGTTATTCCGAATTAACTTTGCAGTGTAGACATACCCTATGACAGCACAAGCAGCACACGGATAGAATGGGTAACGCGAGAGGCTGGTCTCTGCCTGCGCCGTCAGACGGACACTC